CGGGGGCCGGGGCCGGGGCCAGGGACCAGGGTGTGGGGGCCGGGCCCCGGGCTGCGGTGCTGCCCAGGAGCCAGCTAGTGGAACCTTGGCTCTTAAGGCCCCTCTGCGGTTTGAGCTGTAGCGCGACCCGGGAGAGACGGCAAGGTGGCTCTTAGGGAACATCTCCAAGGCATGTTTTCACCAAAGGGAAATGGAGAGGAGATGCCAGGAGGGCCACTGCTAAGGCAGGCGGGAGGCGGGCTGAAGTTTTTCTTGCACAGCCAAATCTGGGAAGGTATGAGAACTTGACGCTGCGTCCAGGAACTGAAGACAAGAGACTGTTTTAAGAAAATCTCTACCCCAGTAAGAGTGAAAATGCTAAGTAATCGCGGGAAGGAGTGGCTTCCAGTAGGAAGCACCTCCCTCGACCAGGGGCCTCTAAAGGAAGGGGAGGCCTGATACCCATTTCTTTCCTAAGCTTGATGCATTTTAATCAAACATTTTGCTAAATTTATATCATCCTACTGAGTAAGCAAAAATAAGAAATTTACCCGAGTAAGTGCACATGTTAACTCTAAATAAAAGTTTCCTTTTTACTTGGAGGGATTATGAGTCACACAGAAGGATCTAGCTATCGGGCCCTGCAGGCTGCTGCATCACAAGGTCACCAGCATTTGTATCAACGGCGTCAAAAAGGCACTGTCACGGCCCCGGCGTCCCCGGCAGAAGCGAGGGCGCGTGCGGACCACTCGACCCGCCCGGGCGCGCTGCTCGCAGGTGCAAAGCCACATGGGATGACAACCATGCAAAGCCAGAGCAACAGCAGAAAACAAGAAACAGAAGCAAGTTAAAGGCTCTTACTGTGCGACAAGCTCGTCAAAGTTTTCATCGGGGCAGTATTTGCGAGGACGGCCTCGTTGAAAATGTCGGCCACGTCTAAACTCTTCATCCTCAACTGTCCAAAAGGACCCACACTCATCCTCTACTCTGATCAAGCACTTACGCAGTGAGAGGCGGGTGCCAACGCACCCTGGGGTGGGAGCAGCGGCAAAGGAGATGCAGTGGCAACAAAGGGAGGCGGGGTTGGGGGTGGAACAGACGCCAATACAGGGAACAGGAGAAAGAAAATAAAACGCGATAAGCATAGCGAATGGTCGGTGAGGTTAACAGGCGTCGCCACCTAACACTAGAGCGGGGCATGCGACAGAGACCGGCAGGCGGGGCGGGGCTGGCGGGCACACGACAGGAGGGATGAAATGCTTTTCTGCACCCCTGGGCCCGGCGGCAGAAACCAGCTCCCTGGTCCGAACGCCGGTGGCGGCCGCGGGCCGGGCGGCGGGCGGGGCGCACGTACCCGCTGATCTTCTGCGGCCTGCGCTTCTGGAACTCCACTTCGTCCACCGTCCACACGGCCCCCTTCACGTTCTCCACGCGCACAAAGCACTTGTGGAGGCTAAGATTGTGGCGCACTGCGTTCTGGGCGGGTGAGAGAGGACATTCACGGTTTCTGTGGGTCGGGGCTCCAGGGTCATCTCAGCCCGACGGCGCGTTAGTCACCCCCCGCTGCAGCCCCCCACGGCCTTCTCGTGGTCCGAGCGCCTTTTCCAAAGGCAAAGACAAAAACCCAAACTGTAAGCTAGCCACGTGGGCGCTGTGGTCCAGTCTTTGGTCACAGCAACTGGGAGAAAACGTTTAATGTGCCTATAGGCCCAAAATAGATTGCACAGTAAAAATCTGAATATATTGTTCACGTGACTTCAAAATAAGGAAGTAAGAACGGCATAAAACTGCCTCTTTCGAACTCACTACCCACAGAAAAAGCAGTTTGTGTCTGTTTTTTGTAAAAGACAAAGACTCAAGTTACTGTTACATACATTTTGTTCTTGTTCTTTTTGTTCGTTAAAGTTTTGGCTTTAAAACCTATGGGTTTTCTCAGATTTATTAAGCAGCAGCCTACACTGGACTTCGCCGTGGGGAGTGTCGCCTCCTGCAGCTGACAGGAGCGGGGGCTGAGATGACGCCCAGTGGACCAGCATCCGTCACCAGGCTGGTCTGACCTTCTGGGATCTACACAGAAACTGGCCCGTACTGTGGGCAAGGACCTTAATTAACTGAGAAAATGCCAAAGGAACACAGGAGTAGAATAATTCTCAATGGGAAAATGATGATATTCCAGCATTAATGGTTCCTACAGACATGTTTCTTCCTTATGGTTTAAAAAAGTCATTTCCATCCATTCCTAAGTGGAGACCCTTGACACCTACAGTGTAATCTACCAGGAAGAAGGGTCTCAACTGAGGGTGAAGAGCTTTTAACATCTCCTCTCTCCTGTGGCTGTCGGGGAATCCACAGCCCTGGCTGGGTGCGTTAACAAGCGTGGCTTTATTTCTTTAGTCTTCCTGTTTGAACTTATTCATCTAGACTCAGAATTAGACATGAGGGCGTTACAAAGAGGCCCATGTCATTTACTCAGAACTTTCTTTTTATGGGGAACATGTAGGTGACAAGCGGGCATGCATCCAACCTCACACGGCCTGCCCGCAGCCCTGGACTCAACTCCAGGATCGCTGCTATTGCTCAAACACTGTGCGCCCCTCTCCTCTACCACCTGCAATGCCTCCTCTCTAAATTATCCTTCGAACGACAGGTCTTAATACTTTGAGAGATGTTTCAATTTCTGAATAATCACCGTGGGAGACTCTGATATGGAATGTTTAGAAGACAATGAGACTAGTTTTATTACATGGCCTGATGAACTTGCTCACAAGGAGCAACCACAGGACAAATTCTTGAGGAGCTTTTGAGCAACGTCAGCATAACAGGTAGGTTCAAGGCACTCAGGGACTGTGAAAGGACCCCCGATTCATGAACGGGGTTGACAGCCTTGCATCAAAACAAACCAAAAATCTCTGAAAAATGTTTGGCATGTTATAACTGTACTTGATAAGACAACCTCTTTTGCATATAACTTGTAGTCTGCTCTCTAAATAAACCCATTTTTTTTATAGTGTACACAGGTATAGTTGAGGATGCTAGGCGTCTGCTGTTCTCTCCTACAACAACACTGAGGAGATTGAAATAAGAAAATAAACAAACTCAAATTTCCTTAAAAAACAAAGAGGCAGAGCGTGTACACATACAGGGGGCACCAGGGGGAAGAAGTTAACATTGCTCCTCACCCCAACCACCTGTCTGGGTTTATGGGTTTAAAGTAAGTAGCAAAATGTACAGAGCTGAGCAGCTCTAAAGAAGCCACTTCTGAATGGGGCTCCAGATCTGTCCAGACGGCAGAGCCATAAAAGCAAAGACCTAAAAGTCAAACCTTGAGCTTCATTTTTAAAGATGTTGCACATCTAAGCAAAAGCAACTAGAAATCAAGTTTCCCCCAAAGCTGAGTAAGCTCTTTTCAGCCATCACTTTAACTGGGTACTTCATCTTTTGTCCAAGACCATAATACAAATAAGGACACGTAGAGAAAATTACGCGCACTGATGAGTCATTAAGTACTTCATCTAGGATTATTTACATCAATGTCACTTTTCCCTGTAGTTTGCAAAAATGAAAAAGTTAAATCTAAAGACCTGAGCTTAAATATCATATTCACGACTGATCACTATTTTTAAATGTGAATATTTGTTATTTATAAAAGGTAATTTGAAGAAAACGTCTGTTTCATGCTACGCTTCCTAAATTTAGAAAAGCATTCATAGCTAAACTCTCTTTGTATGTTACCTCCCAAGGCAGGTGGAGGAAGAGGGTAGAGTTCTGAGCAAGTTCCCTCCAGTGCCCATGTGTCTTAATGGGAGTAATAAAGGCGGGACTTAATAAAGGTGGGCCACAACAGATATCCACAGCTCTGCAAGCCAGGTGAATTAATCCTATGGTTACATTCATTTTCTTATAATGCTAATTTACCAAGAACGTAACAGGAAATAGGATTTCTGCTTTTTTGTGTGTTTTTCTCTCATATAAAATTAAGAGAGTAGCAAGGAAGACATTTATTTCAAGCAAAGCAAATTTTCCTTGCACCCCATAATTAATCCCTGTTGTATTTAAAACAATATGTCAAAGTATCCTAAAACAGTTCCATTTTAAATGTATCTAAATGTTTTGGAATTTAGGGATTATAAGAATTCTAGGTAGCAAAAATGCAAAAAAACCCCCAACACAACAACCACCCCCAACAACCATATTGTACCTGCCCTTTTCTATAGCAAAAATATTAGAAACCAAGAAACTGAAAGTGGGAAAGTCTGAAATTTTGTGAGGGCTTAATCTAACACAATTGAGTTAATACTAAGGGAATCTGTGAACCAACTGCTGAACTGAAAATGAGGTACATCATGTGACTTCATGCTTGTTTGGGGGTATCCATCCATATGGACCTATGGAGTCTGACCTGTTTTAAAGCTACTTTGCTTCTCCAGAGACTCTATGACTCTCTAATGGATAGTCTCTTGACTTAAAAAAACAAAAAAATTAATAATATATTGTGTTCTCCTGTAATAACTCCCATATATAATGCTAGTACTTGGATTGCAAAGCCTCCTTCACTACCTGGGTTAAGGAGATTTTATTCAACCAATGAAAGTTATGTCAAGTTTGTCTGATCATTACTCCAGGTTCCTAATGGCATTAAAAAAAGTTATCTCTGCATCTCTGCAAATATTGGCGGTGGCTAAAGACCTAAAAGCATGAGGTTTGTAGAAGTAACAGGACAACCTCCAAATGCGGGCAGCAGTGTCACCTGCTCCTCCCTACATATTCCAACGAGAAGGAGAGGCTTTCACGGGCTGGTCCATTCAGACCTCTGATGCAAGGTAACGGGAGCCTTCCATCCCAGTGTTTTAGCCACAATGGAACTATTTTCTCAATCAAATATGCCTATAAATTAGACTCTTTCAGTGGATCAACTGTAACTTATAACAACTGCATTTTTTTCAACAACAAACTCTTCTATAAGTGGAAGATCCAAGACTTAAACAGGGTGCAAGAAGGCTTACCTTCCACGTGGCCGCATTCCGTCGGAAGTAAGCAAACATTCGTGTGAACCAGTTATAGATTTCATTTAGTGTTAGCTGCTTTTCTGGAGATTCGAGAATGGCCTGTGAAGCCAAAGTAACAGAAAAAGATAATTTATGACCAAATCGGCAGAATCGTCATTATACAGGTTCTTGAAAATGTAAAATAACCGTGATTCAGAGCTAAATCCTAAGAAAGGCCCTTTCACAAAATGATCTAAGATTAATGGTTGTATTTAACAGTTCAATAGCAAAATTCAAAATGAAGTTATGTAATTGTTTTGAGTTTTTATTTCTGTTTCCGTACAGAAATATTAATTTATTAGTCATTCATAAAGCAGAATCAAAGAGAAATGCAAAACATTTCACTAGCTGATTAAAGCTCAGTAATTATTTAGAGCTCAGATTAATTCTGGGATCAGAGATTACTGCAGCTTGTGATAATTGACTTGCCATCTTTAAACAGGCTCATTTTCACTGTTGTGTGAAATGAATTTCCTAATAATCACATCGTATTGTAATACTTAATCAAAAGCAATTATGTTATATATTGCAGTTTTAAAAAACCTTATAGACAAGGTTTTAGCATGCCTGCATACTAAACGGTTTTAAATCTACTTCATCAATATAATATATCCATGTACACGCACACCTTTTGATGTAATTTCATATACTGTGTTACTTACTTACCTGCCTAATTAAAGATGCATATGTAAATGGTGGTCTAACTTCTGCGTTCTTATAAAACTCTTGGTTCTGCGCAATATCTGCTAAATAAGAATCATTGTCCTGTTAATTATCACTTTTAAAAAGAGGCTGCTTTACAAGAATTGCATACTGCAGTTCTGCATGAGGCAAAAGCAGAGTATCTACCTGAAGAAATGGGCACGTTGTACTTGTCTGAGTACCGCCTGCGGATGGGTCCCACCGTGTGCATGCTGGTGGTGGTGATGACGGAGGGGCCTTGGGTGACGGGCGTGATGGGGGCGGTGGGGGTGGTTGGAGTATGAGGTAAGCTCTGTGGAGAAGCCTCTGACGCAGACTTGGAGAGTGTGACGCTCGACACCAGGTTCAGCTGCGAGGAAAAGAACACTTCTTAGAAGACCTTCAGAAAACCAGGGCAACCAGGAAAGCATCTAAAATCCAGCAGGAATAATACAGGCGATGCTGCTTGGCTAGTTTTATTTCTCCAAGTAAATGTTTCTAAGGAACTGAAACGTGAGGTGAGTTCCCATGTAAACACAATACACTTAGTTGTTAGCTGGGATACGCTGGTGTGGGCCTGAGTCTCCAACAGAACTTTCTGCCATGTGCTAGCCCATGTAAGGAACTGCTTCTACTTACTTTTTAATAACAAACTTTTATTGAAGTTTAATGAATTTCATGAAATAGCCAAGTGTAACCAGTGGCACAGGGGCAGGCTGCTAACATTCCCAACGAAGCGTCCGGGATGGAGCTACCGCGAGTGCGCTTGGCCCGTGACTAAATTAAAACGAGCTCCACTGATCCAGGCGCCGTCATCTGGTGCTATCAGCCAGCAGAGGCGAGTCTCTGAAAGCTTTATGCGTAATCTTCACTACTCTATCAAATATAGGATTGGAATCTATTTGTTTAATAAGAATATGGCGTATGAGAGAGGGAACTGTAAAATTTCTGTTGATTTTTTTTTCCCCTTCAAGGTTCAAATGCTCACTAATATAGTCCTGGAGTAATCTATTCATCAAGTAAGAAAATGAACAGTATTCATTTGAAGTAATGTAGAGGAAAATCAATAGTTCTGTTTTGATTCTTTCTTTGTCTCTATCAATCTAATGTTCACCTTGAAGTGCTTCTCTTATTAAAACTGGACAAACAAGCTAAACCCCCTACCCTCCTTTTCCAAAATTTGTTGTTACCCAGAAATATTCAGTCTGGCTGCACTGAAGAACCTGATCACTTTCAACATATTTATTACAGTTTACACAGATACGTACTAACTCAGATACGTACAGTTGGCCCAAATCCAAGAAACTCCAGCAGAGGAGGCTTACTTGGTAACATTTTCTCAAACCATATTTCAAATCACTTAACAAAATAAGTCTGTTTCACCAACACAACAGTCCCAGGACAAGGCATTATTTGTGGAAGGTATTCAAAATGAGATTCCTCTGAGATCACAATCAAAGGACTTACTGAAAGAAGGGTTTCCATTTTCTGGGGCAACTCGCCCTTGCTCACACTCTAGAAACGCAAGAGGCCATGAGAAACCTCTGTCTAACATGTTTGGGGCAATTCCATAAAAAGGCAGTAAGTCTGAAGAAAAAGAAAGATCAAATGTCGCCGGGAAAATATTAATGGGAACTGTCAACGGTGCTGGGGGCTGGAGGCTGGGCTGCAGCTTTCCCTGTGCTTTCTTTTTTGTCCCGTTTCCGAGACGTGCCCGCTCGGCCAGGAGAAGACCCCCCGCACCCCCCCAGCCCGTGCCCTGGAGGGGCGAGCTACGGAGAGGGGCCGCGCTGACACCCCCAGCAAGCGGGGTAGACGCTGCGAGGTGCTTTCTCATGGCTGCTGGGAACCCGACTTCTTGACACACATCTGCAAACAGGGTGGCAGCCTTGGGGGAGCGGGAGGGAAGGCGGGATCAGGTCGTCTCTGCCTGGCCCTCCATCCATCCGACCGCGTGCGGAAACCATGTACAAGCCTCAGCCAATCAGAGGGTCAGGGAATCGGTGCGTGAAAGGCCGAAGCTGAGACGCAGAGCTCGTAAGAAGTGAGAGGCGGCCACGCCTCAGACCGCCGGCACACTCTAAGGTCACGGGCCCCTGTGCAGAAACCACGCGGTAAACTACCTGCCACTGGCCGTCTTCATTAATTCTCATACCTCACTAATACTGGAGATGTTATTACTCATATTCTACAGGTAAGCAAACTGAGGCTCACGAGAGATTAAATAACTTGCTCCAATTCACAACCTGGACCCGAGGTCAAACACGCACTGGTCATTTAATGAGAAAAGAAACGCTAACCAGTTTCATTTTTCTGTGGGCTCGTTTTGGGAAAGGATTCAGTGAATAGTTTTATCCCTGCTTCTAAATGACATTCAGTAACTGCTACTGAGCAAACAGGAGGCATCTGGAATTGAACCGACAGGAGCAGAAACCGAGCATGTGGCTGCTGCCCCTGAGGAGCTTCCCATCGGACGGCGGCTGGGCTCACAGGACACCACGCACGCCCACCACACAACTCCGAGACTGCCTAGGCTCCTCGGCTTGTCTTTCCAGTTTACAAACATCACCCTAAACACCATGACTTTCTTAAAAATGCAATGAAATTTTGAGAGAAACACAACATCCTTAAAAACATGTGCATGCTCCTTCCCAGTTTTGTGGAAAAGGTCACCAAGCCTACTGTGGGCTCTAGTCTGATTGTCCAAACCCAGAACTCATGTGGACACTCAGGAAGCGAAGCCCACCTTTGGGTGCTCACATGCAAGTGTAACAGACAAGTCATACGGGGCAGCACCCTAAAATGGAAAGAATCTGACTCCTGTACTTTCACAAAGGTCTCAACACTTGGACTGTTTCTACCAAAAAAGAGCAGTGAAAAATTAAAATCTCTCCAGGTTAGCACAATCCACAAAGAAAAAAACACTAGCATTTTGGGGAGGCTTTTGAACATCAGCAGCAAGTGGAAATAGACACCTCACCAGAAGAGAGCGGAGAGGGGCTTTCCAGGCGTGACAGATGACACCTCGACCCACACCCACTGCCGGCTCCCTAACAAGCCACAGAGGAAGCAGCCAATCTCCGCTAATTACCAGATAAAAATGTATTGTAAGGACTCTAATTAGGAGACGCGGATGGAGGTGATCTAATGATTAAATGCTGCATGAGAGTGACCCCACCATCAATGTGCAGTGGAGCAGGATGCCACTGGAATATTTTGTTGAAACAGTGATTTTATTTCGAGGAGGGGAGGCAGTAATATTTGTAATGATGGCTACGAGGTAAACTAATTAAAAGACAGTCCTGGAGGAAGAGTGTGGCTGAGAGCAGCTGTGGCCATTCCAACACCAAGTGCCAAGTCTCAATGGAGGGACTGCAGTCAAGTGGAAAATTGCTGCCTGACCTCTACCCTTGCTATTAATTTGCAGGAAAACTAATGACACATATACATATTCCCACAAAATTGTTCTAATTGCTAATTTGCCAAAAGAGCCCAGATTCCAAATCAAACATGACTGTGGCCTGCGAGGGAGGAGAACAGAAAGCTGTGAGCTCCAGACGGAGGGGCTCTGCCTCGAGAGATCACTGAAGGCTGAACCAACAAGTTAATGAAATGTCAACCTTGTCAACTGCAATAGAAGTTCCCTAACTTTGAGACTTTTCTTTGATGATCACATGCTTGTCTTGAGGAGACGCCACCTTGGGGAGGACAGTCACGAGGGACAGATAAGAGGAGCAAGGGGAAGGGTTCACAACAGGCTCTGCGCTCAAACCTGCTCCTCTAATTAGGGTCTGTCTGAACACAGTGGACCAAAAAAATTAATTACAGACTCAGAACAGAAGAGCAAATCGGGAACGGTATGGGTTTTGCTATAATCTTATAATATTCATCCTAGTTGTAAACTATTAAATCTTAATATAATCATCGATTTGAAATGAAAGCATATACGCTTCGCATTTCTGACTGTAGCTAAGGTTTCAAAGGATGATTTTTTTCTGGGGCATGGAGCAGGAAGGGATAGGACTGGGAGGGTCTCTCTTCCTATTTTTCTTATTGTGTTCATTTTCTATTTAAAAAGAAGTTGCTATGTTTAGAAAAGTTAGTAACGCTGATATTTTTCTACATGGCAAGGTTCCATCATGTGATGACTTGGGCAAAGATAATCTGTTTGAAACTTTGGCCAAAAGTTAAGTTCTTATGTCCCTTAAAGTCGCTGTAGGGTTTTGTCTTTACGTTTCTGCGTGCTCTCGGCAGTCGTGGCAGGGCTGTCCCGGGACCTCCCCCAGCCCGCTGCCGGAGCCGTCCGTCTCAGCGACCTAATATTCTGCTCAGCCCTTTTGCAGAAAGTCAATCTTTACTTTTTAAACAGTAACCTCGTCTCTCTTTTAAAGATGATGAGTCATTCGTATTTTTAAAAAATAAACAAGCCTCTGAAACCCGGACAGAAACAGACTTGTCGTCAAGTATTCCCATAAGAACTCATCTGTGTTTTTGTTTATGCTCTTGTCTCACATGAGAACAGATTCTGAGAACAAAAGACAAACCTGAAACCGAATCACCAAGGGACCTAGCTGCTTAGCGGGGGCTCTCAGGCTCCCAGAACTGGTTCTTTCTGCTGTTGGTTTTACCGGCCTCAGCTGGGTCAAGTCCTGCTTTAACTGCAAGGAGTCTCTCGACATGAACCACTCGAGTTCCTTCCGAGGGGCCTTTCTGAGGCTGAAGGTGCCTTCCCAGGCTGGGGGGGCTAGGACATGGTGGCAGCCGCCTGGCCCTGGTACTTGCGTGCTACAGCCAGGGCCGGTGGGGCTGGTGTCGCTGACTGGAGCAGAGGAGGGACTCAATGAGAAAGAGTGCATAAAAATAGCTGTGTGTATCTGCTTGAGGCTGTCCCTCTCTGACCGCCTAACAGTCTGCACACAGCCAGGCTGCAGTGGCCCACAGGGTCGGCTGTTTCTTTAAGAGCTAAAAGAGCTGTGTTTTTATAGCGGCTAAAACTATTTCAAAACAGTCCCGTCTGCTATGGTTAGAGGAAAAGATAAGGTGTAAAAAGGAATATCCAATACTGCGTTTCACTTCCAATATCCCAGTCCCTCTAAGTGTCTTATACATATCGTAAGGGGGGACACAGCACCTGCACTGTGACCTGCCCACCAAGCTTCTCCAGGACCGGGCCGCTCTCAGGGTGGGTGGCAGGAGCGCCCTCAAGCAATGTACCCAGTATTATAAAGTATGATTTACAGTATGTTCCTGACATAATGAAAGTGGAGGCTCTTTAAAATACCCTTAACAACTTCATCAAGTTGTAACACAGACACGTCTTTTCGTTGCTGTTACTGCTCTGTCCCTCCCAGGAAACAGCTCAGCTAATTCTCCGTGGAGTTTGCATGGAGACATCATGGTGGGTGTTTACTCTGACAGTATTACTGAGTTTGGAACAAAACTCAATCATACTCATCATGATAGTTTACTATTGTCTAATTTTTCACTTTTGCTTCTCTTAACATGGAAAAGAGAAGAGTCTTTTAAGACTCAAAATGCAACACTTGGCTATTCTAAACACAAGTCAGGAGAGGCTTCCCATGGCACGCGTTCAGCCGCTAGGGACACGCGCCTGCTCTGGGAAACCCACACCCCTTCCACCGGGGCCTAGTTTAATACCAGGAAAAGCATGCAGCGCTTACTCTGGCTGACACCGGCCATTCCTTACCTTCCTGCACACTGCTGCTCATTCCATACCTTCCTGAGAGACACACAGACCCACGTACCCACTCTCAGCCCAAGGAGAGTCGCGAAGCCGACTTCTTTCCACACCTTCTTGTTCATCCAGGTTTCATCTTAGAAGCTGCCTTGCCCAGAAGTCCTCCTGGACCCCAGCAAAACAGCTCAGTGTTCTGCTCGCACACGGCATGGCTCATGCAGCGAGCCTGCGAGTAAGAGAGCGTGCATGTGCGTATTTACTTGTCAGTTTGTCCCACAAGCCTCCATACGCCTCAGAGGCAGGGAGGCCTGCAGCTCACTTTACTATGCAGCATGCCCAGTAACTATCTGTTGACGCAATAGCTTGATTTTAAATGCAACCTGCAGTCTGAGTCCTGGGTATAATTTTTTCGACTTGATTTTACAGCAAGCAGGAAGAGATGCTACTGAAGGGGTCCAAGGAATAGGAAGACTGTGAACTCATATTCCAGTTCACCCATACACGTCCGAGTGTGGGTGAGCTTGGACCCACTTCTAAAAACCTGGGGTCTGTCCCAAGATGAGCATATCCTCTAGCGGAATGTGAACACGAGTTCCACAGAGGCATCCAGAAGACGCCATCTATGGGCTGACGGAATGGAGTGGGGGCTGGCTGGAAGACTGGGTACAACAACTGACACTTACCACCCAAATGGCATTTAGTGAAAAGCAACAGTTATAGCATTCTATCACTTAGTAACTAAGAATTAAAAATAAACACGAAGTTCCTTTTAAACAGAAATGGAAAGAAAACTCACAAACTTACTGGCCAGGCTGTAACGTGAAAGTCCCCATCTACGGTTAGATTTGACCCCCAGTGGTCGCTTACATCAAATCAAAGGTACTAGAAGAATATACATTTGAACACACATGTGTATTCCATTATTTAAGGTGAAATAAATTAATTACAGGCAAAAGGGAAGGACTGGTAACTGTGTGTCACCAAAGTGGAAAGGACCAAGGGTTTGCTATGTGCATCTGCTTTTTTTCTTTTACCATTTTTGGGGTCCAGGAAGTAAAAATGTATGCAAAACACTCACGTCTACCTCTTATAATTAATTTCCAATGCTTCACCTATACACACTTAATAATTCCTGATTTATAAGACGGTATCTATAATGAAATTTTCTATTTTCCAATAAATGAAAAGAAGGCAGGTTCACTCCGGCGACAGTGTCACACAGTATCTGCTTGTCAGGCACCAATTTTTACTTCTTACATGTAAGTTAAAGGATAAGGAATTTATAATGCTGCCTGTGAAGGGAACCACTTTTCATACACAAATGTGATCTTTTTTATTTTTCAAAGGGTAATACAACAGTACATTTACATAAACTAATCCAAACAATCTGTGTGTTTGACAATGGCAAACCTCACACAGACGGCCTATTGTTGGTTTACATCGCGGAGCTCTTTATACGGGCTTGTAGCGCTGCTCGAGCTGTCAAAGGTTTGACTTGGGCTCTAAATGAATGGTTATAGAAGTGCTGTGCGGCGATATTGGACTTCTTTGCAAGAGAAAACCTGCTGTGTATGAATTCAAAAGCTATTAATTTTTCAGTCAAAAATATTCGTGCCTATTTCTTTTAATAAAGAAATACTGTGCTGAGCTACTAAGAGATAATGTTGACTAGTGGTAGAGAATTTTCAATAGAGCAGTTAAAAATAAATTTAGTAGGAGGTCTCCTTCAAAGTTATAATTTTCTAGAATGTAAAACATTTTTTTAAAATACTAATCAAGACAAACTTCCTTGTGTATTTTCCCCCAGGACTGCTGTCCCCATTTGCTGGTTGCTCACCAACGGTCCCCACGGAGATTCCAGCGCCCTTCCGTGGCGCTGCGGGCTTACGCACATGGCGCTCCCCGCCAACACCCTGGCTCAGTGCCTTCTCCGGTTTTACCCGCCCCCCAAGAAGCCTCATGATCCAAACTGAGGCCATTCCTGGAGTCCAAACACTACTCCATCATCGTCTTTAATCCACGCAGGAAGCAGAAGATAATCTCGTCATCTCCCGAGTTGCTAGGTTTAGAGGCTCTCACTCTCCATCCTGGGAGGAACCATGTCCCTCCGAACAAAAGCCATAGGAACACGTTCAGAGTCCGAAGGCAGTCACTTCCCTGGAGAAGTGGCTACGCCCACTGGAGAACTCGGTCATTTCAGGGTCTCACCACTCTGCTTAGCTGAGTTCGTATTATTTCCAGGATCCTTGTCAAAAGGAGAGATCGATAGAAAAATAGCAGGAATAGCGCAGTACACTCCTGACTCCACCACATCCTGAATGCCTGTTTCCCTTTCCTCTTTCTTTTTGGTAGCCCACACACTCGGTCCTATAGCCATTTACTGCAAAATACATGGAAACTAAGGGCTCTTTCCAAATAAAAATGGATGTGCAAAGGGTTTAATGACTTTATGTCCTATATCTCAGTAATGTGCTCCGTTTCAGACATTAATTTTGTCTGCCAACTGCATCCTGGCAGGCTACCATATTTGCTGGTTAATAGTCTGACTCCGTTTTATTTCTATCATCATAAATCATACATATATGGGTGTATGTTTGCTTTATTTATTTAAAAAAAAATGAGTCCAAACAGATAAACCAATACTCTGCCATTACGCTGCATCATTGCATGTTGATTAAAATTGCTGGTACTAACTATATAGATTGTCAACGCTCAATTAATTTTCACACAGTGACTCCTTGCAAAATCAAATAAAGGCAGTGTACCTTTAAATTTTACAAATCTTAAAAATCAAGAAGCAAAGCAACTCTATTTTGAATAATCAGTTGAAGGTACTAGGAGATTTTTAGAAATATAAGTATATGAGAAAACAACTATTAAAGAGATCAATTTAAAATAAGGTCAAGGCCCAGTGCAGGAGCTGGGGAGCGCCCTTCCTCCTGGCGTTAACCGTCCACGCCTGGACGGCACTCCCCGAGGCCCAGCGCGGCTCCTAACGCTGAACATAACTTGAGTGCACCAGTTCGGGCTCCCGCTCACTTCAAGCTCCCGATGCTCTCCCGCTGTACCTCTGCCTGCTCTGACGGTGGCCTTCCTCCCTCGGTCACACTCGGTCTGGACCATCCCTGGCCCCTTTCCTCACACTCACTGTCCCTCAGCTGCCCTGCGCTGCAAGGCCTTGGTCTTCTGCCTTCATGGTCTGGCTGTCTTCTCTCTGCATCACTACACTTCAGAAAGTTTTCTCTCCCAGTGAGTTCTCATAATATATTTTAGCGCCTCCGTGTAGCGTCCATCATCTGTCCCTCAGGAACCAGGCCTGTGCCCGCATCACCCTGGATTTCCCTAAACGCCTCTTTAGAGAAAGTCACCAGAAGCTCAGCTCGAGCCTTCACTACTCAACGCTACTGGAGTGGCCTGTGCTCCTGCCTGGGCGCGGGGTGGGGAGCGGGTCTCCCTCGGGGCAGCTCGGTACTCACGGGCTGAGGGGCAGCTTTGGGCTCCGTGGACTTCACGTGCAGGTGCGTCATCATGGCTTGCAGGCGCTCTCTGTCTTTTGCAAGCTGGTAGGGAGAAAAATGCCTTGTTATTCCTTTGAATACAGATTTGAGTACCTGTTACTATTACATACCATTATATCCAGAACGATATGTATTCCAAATTAAACTATGGAATTAAACTATTCAACTATTCCTAATTAAACCATCACACATGACAAAATATTTTTCACTGCTTAATCATTTTGAAATCTATACGACCAGTGCCAGACTCCAAGTAACTGGAAGTGTCGGTGTGAGGTTTCCCAACACAAGACAGATTAGCCTTTAACTGGGAAGTTCTAGACCTGCTGGCACCAAGGAGTCGCATGTAACACAGACAGCTAAAGACAAAAACGTGAATCATGCCTATTAACCAGCCTTATTCATGAGGAAGCCAAAAGAAAATGAGCGAGGTAGCGAAAACTCATAAACTCATCTGCTGTGGTTGGAAAACTCCTAGACAGATGGGTACATTTATGCAAAATGAACTTCATCTTTCCTAGCAGGTAGGCACAGATGAAGACAGAGCTGGCAAGCAAGGTTATTGGCAGGGCAGACGCAGGGCTACAGGGTTACACATTCCCGTTTTCAGATGAACACCGAATAAGCTTACTCACTTATTCAATATGTAAGTACCTACACCATGTGCTAGTCTCTCATCTTAACAAAAAGTGAAATCTCCTCATTCTGCAAAACGTCATCTTCTGAAGGCACGAGAGTTTCTAACCGGATGTACATGGCAGGGACTTGGGTACTATTTATTTATTGGACGTAACTTGCTTTACGCTTGCCTTGGACTGTCTTCACAGGGTATTTTCGATAGTTTAAGACAGTTGGGCACGGGGGACCCATAACAATGGCCGCAGTGAAGAGGTGGGAGTGCAGAGGTGAGTGACGGCACCGTCGGGAGGGCAGCCGCGGGGTTTGGGGAAACGAGCGAGATCGAGGAGAGGGTGGGAGGGAGGAGGGACACAGAACTGGGGAGGGACTCACTCCTCTGTCACAGAATTAATCCTAGATCTTTCAAACATCAATTATGTTTTGTAAGTCTAAAATTATTCCAAAATAGCCACCACGGAAGGCATTTTATTTCTGGATAAGGGACAATGTGCTGCGGGAACTGGGGAAGCAGGAAGGGAAAAGCCCTCGGACCCAACCGGTGCTGGGTGGCTCCGGCTTCGGCCGTGTCACGCTCAATCTTTTTTCCTTTTTATTGCCTCGTGGTTCAGGGAGGAATAAATTACTGCGGGGGGAGGAGAGCCCTACAGTGTTAGCATTTATCTTTCAACAAACAGGAAATGAAAGCGATACCATATTAGGAGCCACTTTATATTACTCATCCTCTGTTCTTCAGTGAGTTATTGAACAGCCAAACAAAAAGATGCTCGGAACACAAAACATAATGCTAAAGGAATTTAGTTTTCCAAGTAGCTCAGTTAGAACAATTAAAATGTTAGCAATGGCATTTTTCTATAGTTCTTTGGTTGTTTTTTTGATTCGAGTGTTCTAATTTTTAGATGTTAAAAGTAAAACATTCTTAATTTTTAAAAATGTTTTAAGATTATAACGGGCAGAAGAAAAAAAATAAGTGGTCTTTTCTGGTGAACACTACAAATTAAAGGGCAGGAGGTGAGGACTGCTGGAGCCTGATGAATATTAATTGTGACTAATTTGGGGGTAAATATTATTGATATAGTAATCACAAAGACCAAAGTAGAAAGAAATTCAAATTCCCAGCATCAAAGGGAATCACCACCTCTCCATCCCATCAAAACGGATGCCAGGCTGACCGTTTACTGCTGAGGCTGCAAACACATACCTAGGCTTGTACACAGAGCCACACCCGTAAACCTGGACCTCACTGCCATAGGGCACGGGTTAGTTTTCCACAAGGATATTACTTAGACTTCATCGTCCATTTTGAGAATTATCCAGGTTCCTGATTTTGCCTCTACCTCAACTCCAGCTATAAATGATGGGTAAGGTTACAGAAAAAGGCAAAAATCCAAGTTTTTGTTTTTGTTTAATTAGTGCAAACTAGCATGCAATATATTCTTAAATGAGCTTTGAATTTTTATCACCAATTCTAGCTCCAACACAAAGTGTTTTAACAGTTAAAGAGAAAAAAACCTGGCAGAATTTGCTTTTTGTTTTTTTAGGCAAAAAGGCCAAATATTCACACCTGTTGACACCACACCCTCTCTCTCCAGTCTCACATTTATAATACTCACTGGTCCTTCAAAAAGCTTTCAGATTCTTTATTACTTTCTATAACCATCATTCCATGAGCTCACCTTCCATCAACTCTCATGGCATCCTTTCATTATTATGAGAATACAAGCATTTAATATTAGCAAGCATATTCCAGCATTCCCTTATAACCTGAATCCCATGAAAAGCAAAGCAAGAGGATGGGAAATTCAGTCCAGAGGTCAATTAAAAATTTGGTCAGCAAATTAAAAAGAAAGCATGTTGTGATATCCAAAGAGAATGCCTTTCTAGCAGCTTTCCTGGTGGGCCAGGAAGGGCTGGCAGCGCCAAGGAGCTGTGCAAATCAGCAAGTTTGATCACCAGTTCCACAGGGTGACAGCAGAGTGGAAATGGGAAAAGGTCTGAGACGGGGCACAGCACGTAACCTCTGTAAGCGCTCAGTTCTCCCAGTAAACCTGGAACAATAACCTCTGGACTTTGAAGGGCTGTTTTGAGGAGTGGGGACGTTCTTGCACGTAAGCTCAGCATAGAGCCTAGGGCTTCATGATGCTCAAAAAGTACCTTCTTTTTCTTTAAGGAAAGTTACATCAGTGAAGGTTATGCAGACTTCTCCTGGCTGAGGGCGTTTGGAATCTAGACGAACGTAATGGGTTCAGTGGAGTCTGCACTTGGGTTCCTGGGGGGGAGGCGGCAGCGGGGGCTTTGATGCTTTAAAGCAGGGCTGGGGAGCATTTTTCTGCCAAGGGCCATTTGAATATTTATAACATCATTTGCTTCGTGGGCCATACAAAATTATCAACTTAAAAATTAGCTATGAAAAAACCCCTTAATTTATTGAATTTCGAGTCCCCCCTGTGGTCACTGAATGATTTCACGGGCCATACACGGCCCCTGCTTAAAGAATGGAACAGAGCCCGGGAAAGACGAAGTCCGTGTCCTTTGGATGTACAGCCTCGGTTCTCACTGTGTTCTTTTCCTCATCCTGGCAATGCTTTTCCCCTCTTCTTACTAATCACGGGCTCCAATTAGGTTTTCAAGAGCCCAGGCTGTGAAAGACCAGAACACGTGCATTGCTGGGACCTACTGAGAAGTGCCTCAGGCTAGGAGCTCCATCCAACATCTTCAAAGATAAAAACCAAGGAGACTGAACTCATTCTCTTAGCAGAGAAAAGGGAACATGGTTTGGGGTTCATTTAACACAATTGTTTTACCTGCTGTCAGGAGGACAATTCATCTTTAGCCCAATTTGGTGGTTCTCACGAGAAAAAAATTCTTCTGAAATAAATGAAGGACTTTGGGTGTCTAAAACACTAGACTTGTTGAGTACAGATGAGATGAGGGGCCAGGCAACTCACTTGATCTCAGAAGCAAGGCTGTGGCGGCTCCCTCAAGCCCTCCTACCCTGTCCCCGTATTTTATAGTTGCGGAAACTGAACCACTGAGTGAACTTATGTGAGGTCCTGGAGCTGAGGACGGGCAAAAATAAAATAGAGCCCTAGTTTACGAGGCGTGGTCTGACTTCTGCACACCGGTGTGATCACAGGACACACCTGGGACACTAACTGGGAACGCAGACTTGCCTCCTCCCGCACCCATACTGGGCTCCTGGGCGGCTTCCGCGGGATGGGTGGGTCGTGGACATGCATGTTGTGGCAGCGGGCACCCAATTATGAGTTGGCCAGTCTGGATTCTTTCCATGCCAACGACGAGCCCTCATTGAACAGACTGGGGTCATACATGAACTTGCTAAGCCCCGCTCTCCGAGGAGGAACGCGGGAGCGCAGTCTGAGCAGACTCGCAGGCGTCCGGGCGTGGCGAGGGGAGCGTGGGAGATGCTGCTCTTTCCCATGGGCTGCGTAGGCCTTCGCCAGGCTGCCTGGGTTTCCTCGGGGGTTCCGTCTACAGAAGTCACCCAGACTGAATTGACTGAGGAGAGTAACACACGATCAGAAGAAAAGCAAGAGGGAGAAAAGAAAAAAACACTGGCTGGAAGGGGCAGAAATGGAATTCCTCTACCAAACTGAGTAGTTATTAGATACTGATTTTCAACCCCCTTTCTCAAATGATGGCCACTCGCATGTTTCCGAACTGGGCGCAGTGGAAACTCATGAACGACACCTTCCACCACCAAAGGCAGCTCCCAGGTGGAGGCTCCCTAGGGCTCATTTTGCCCCAACTGAAGAAATTCCCTACTTTGACTGTGTTCTGTCACCATCCTCACATTCCTCGCATGTTGTTATTAAAGACTCTCCTGACATTTGAAGCAGACGCACACTAATACTCAGTCATAGTCTAGGAATTCTACTGCTCCCAGAGTTAGGCAGGATTTTCAATTATGAAAACTAAGTGTCTCAGTTTTCAAAGAGGGACGTGGAAGGGAGAAACCCAGAAACTCTCTCTTCTTTTTCTTGGCTCTCATCAAAAAGCAGTGGCAACGTGAAGCTATGGGGCTCTCAGGCCCTCTCTCCCCAGCATCCTGAGCTTATTCAGACAGGCACAAGGCTGCCAGGCCACGGCCCTGAGTACTGCCCTGAATGGGGCTAGACAGCTACACAGGGGGTCATGTTAAGATAATATGTTTGTGAAAGTCCGGGAAGCTGGTGTGATTACAACTAGCACTGCTAATGGTAGAATAATCACACGTAGAGCCCCTACAGTCACTGATTTGTGTTAGGCTTAACATCTCCCTCAGCTATTGAAACCTGTGCATTTTCTCCCTGCTGACACTTTCTTAGAGCTTGTGTAGTGAGCCAGTGTCACTGAGCACCAGCCCTGCCCTACCGCACACACTGCTCCACCAGGTGGAGAAGAGA